GACCAACTACAATGACAGATATGATGAGGTAAGATGTGTGGCCCTTGTCTTTCAGGTTCATATAGGAACATCCCCAGTAGCTTCTCAGTAAGATGCAGATTGCTGTTTTGGAGTGAGATCAGCTTAGAGCCTGTTGGGTGTAGATTGTATCTAGGGTTTTTTTAGGTATTCAGATTATTTTCCTGCTGGTGGACTACAAGGTGAACGCTGTCACCAGCTTAGAGGCAAATAGAGCTAAAACAGGGAGAGGGGTGTAAAGAAATCTACTTCAGCTAGACTTGATTCCATCCCTGGAGTGCTGAAATTAATGGGATGACAGGGAAAAACTTCACACTGTCACATCTGTGCTGCTCCCAGAATGTAATTCACTGCTTAAAAACCGTGTGGGAGTTCCTAACTGGGGGGCTCCAACCCCTGTGCATGAAGGAGCTCAGCTGATGGTACGAGGACTCTGACTTGTTCTCCCTTCTTTGCAGATCCGTCGTCACTGGGGTGGCAACGTCTTGGGTCCAAAATCTGTGGCTCGCATTGCCAAGCTTGAAAAAGCAAAGGCTAAAGAACTGGCTACTAAGCTGGGCTAAAGATGTACTGATTTGGTACCATGGTTTGTGTACATAAAGAGAATAAACCCCCAGATGAAATTTCCGTGGTCTCTATTCATGAGGGTTGCAGTCAGTGGGTCGCAAGCGATTGTTGCCTGCCTTCTCTATTTGCCTACAACAAAACAGTTGGATAGAACAGCACAGAAGGCTGCACAGATTACTTCCCTTAGAACAGTTTGCCTTGGCTGCTTTGGTAGCCCTAAATTCTTCTCCTTTAAGCATAGCCCCCTCAGCTGCACATACTGGTGATCCTACACTGAATGGGACAAGCCTGCCTATTTCTGGCTTTAAGCCTAGCTTAGTAATGCAGATATCTGACTTGGAAATAGCTGTACATCATCATTAGTGCCTAGGCTTAATTACTGCATGGATTTTGTAAAGGCATGTTGATACAGTTGTGACACTTCACTGGATTAAAAAAATCAGGACCTTTAAAGGTTTGTGATGCCTTTTTCCATGACAAGTGAAGGCACGCTAAAGGGTGAAGGAAGTATCTAACTCTACTTACCCTTCTGTTCTTTGCTGGCTGTTGACTTTGGTCTTGTGGCATTCTTGGAGGCAACAAGCTTGGTGGTAAGGCCTTCAGCCCAAACTGAGGCAGCTCTGTGTTATTTCTGCTGGCCCTGATGATGTTCTTGCAAAGCTGCACGCTGTCTCACTCAAACTGGAGTCTGCAGTTGCTACATTTAAGGGCATTTATGTCCCTCTTTAAGTTGTAAGATATGCAATATAAATCACAAGGCAAGCACTAACAGCCTGTTTTATTTATCCTCATGGAGCTGCAGTGTCCCTGTCTTGAATTCAGGAATGACTGCCATGTGAAAAATTTTGACTGATAAAATCCCTTGCCCTCATTTGCTTACACTGAAGATAGAAAATAGAGCAGTGGAGAAGAAAAGGTTTTCTACTGTTGGACAGTTTGGTCACAAGCTACAAAAATGCATTCTGCACATGTTCAGAAAGCTGATGTAAGCAAGCGTGCCAACACCCATCACTAATTCTGAAGTTCAGTGCTTCCAAACTGCTGTCAGCATCAGCTGGGAAGTCCTGTGCCCTGAGACTGACTTCTTCAGGACTGATCAGGCTGCAGTCTTGACTGTAGTACAGCAGAGCAGAAATTAATCCTTCCCCTCATAGAGGTATTTTCTGTATGAATTTTCTGTACCACAAGAAGGAAGTTGCAGCACACAAGCCATACCTGTGACAAGAAGTAAAAAAACAACATCTACATGGTATTTCCAAAATTGATTAAAAGTTCCTTAAATCAACTGCAGTTCAATACTAAAGTTATTTCAGACTATCTGGGAAATACCACTCAGCTTCAAACAGTTTGCAGCTGAAGATCTCATCAGTCTCCTTGATGCAGGAGCAAGAATGCCAGGAAAAAATTATTTCCTTGCTTCCAGTGGATTCAACACAAAGCAGAAGTCAGACACTGGCTGGGTAACTTACCAGGTAATGATGTACTGCATGTGCTCGTTTCTCAGGCTCACTCTTGTCTGACCTCCAATGGGCCCTCCTGGCACTGTGCTTCCTGTAGGTACAGCACACTGTCAGATGTTTGGTCTGCAAAGCCCTGAGCTGCCCCTGCTCTGCCAAGTGAGCAGCTGACTGAGTGAGAGTCCCAAAGACAGCCCACTTCTCTGGGCAGCGGTGTTCCCAAGTTACTTAGCTTCAAAACCTTGTACAGTAAATAGTGCAGTACCTCTGGAAATGCCTTAGGGAAATACATCACAGAGAAAAGGGGCAGACTGACATGAACTGGTTGTGGATTTGGGTTCCTTTGTGACTTACTGAAATCTGCATCAATGAAGATGGGCTCAGCACCGGTCACCTTGGCCATAGCCTCCAGGTCCCGATAGTGCCAGCGGTTCTTTTCAATGTTATTTTCAGGTACAAAAGGTTGCCGTTTTTCTGATAACCTCACCACCCCTGTGAGGTCGATTTCTTCTTCAATCTGAAATGCAGAGGAGGAAAAAAAGGAATCTCTCAAAGATTCATTTCTAGCATACCTGGACCTGGTAGTACATCACCTGCAAGGTCTGGTTATAAGGAAGTTAGCAGGTTGTGCTACAGTGCTGTAACACGGCAGGGAAAAAGGCAGATGCCTTGTTTACTTCATCAAAGGCATCAAGAAAAGGCACCTTTAAGAAGTGCAGTGACTCATGAACGTGGCTGTTGCCTTTCTTGGTTTGTCAAAAGCATCTCTGGGCAAGCACAGGTCAGAAAGTAACGCGCAAGATTTCCCTGTATCCCTCTTACCTGTCCCTTCAGCCTGGTCTCTGGTTTCAGTTTCTTTTTGGGCACAAATCCTCGGTTGACTAAAATTGTGACTCTAGAGTTACAAAAACAGGACAAATATACGTCATGAATTAAAGGAAATTCTTGCTCCTGTCTACAGCCATAAGAAAACATAAATACAATCTGGAATCAAGACTCAAGCACCTAAGAGACAGATGCATTTTAAGGGAGAGGTAGACATACAAACCCAATCACTATCATTGCTTTCTGCAGCTCCTGAAAGGAGGCTGCAGTGAGGAGGGGGACAGTCTCTTTTCTAAGGTGACAAATAATGGGACAGGAGGAAATGGTTTCAAGCTGCAGCTTTAGATTAGATATTAAGGCAAATTTCTTCATGGAAAGAGTGATCAGGAATTGGAAGGGGCTGCCCAGGGGAGTGGTGGAGCTCCCATCCTTGGAGGTATTTAAGGGAGGTGTGGATGTGGCACTAAGGATTAAGGACAGGACCCAGGTTGATGGTTGGATATCGTGATCCCAAAGCTTTTTTCCAACCTAGGTGATTCTATGATTCAGATATTTGAAAAGAAATGAGTTGCTCGTGTGAGCTACCACTTAACTCACCCTAGTTCTGTGCAGTAGAAAGGAGTAATGACATTTGCTCCATTTTCTGCATGGGATGTCAGCTTCCCAGCTTCTCTGGCTTCTCTCTCTGGGTCCACAAGTGACCGTGGCAAAATGTAGAGCTCCTTGGAGTGGTCAAAATGCCCTCGGACCTTTACAGGCCTGTACTCCAATTCCTTCAATTCCATAGGGCTGCAGAGAACAAGATGAAACGAAAATCACAGTTGTGATAGGCAAATTACACGGCGGGATTTTACTGTGGAACTCTTAGCTTCCTTACTCTAATGTCAGAGGGATGGGCTCTGAGGAAAGTCTGGATGCCAGCCGTGCAATCAAATCTAATTTCCATTTTCGACGCTGAATCTGGAAGTACACAAACACAAAAGGAATTCCTATTGGTAGACCAGAGCAATGTAACGATCATTGCAAGCCTTAAAATCTATTTCCTGGTCATAAGTTTGTCCTGACCATAAACAAAACAAATTGAGATATGAAAATGGAGACTGCTGACTTTGTCTGGGGAAAATATTTATAACAAAAGTGTTAAAAAAAATATGAATCTCTCCATCAAAGACTTGCACGAACCTCACCAGTGTGCAGTGGGAAAGCAGAAAGGTAAAATATCAGCAAATCTTTGCCCTGCCTATGGCACGATCTATAGCAAACAGCCTGAGACTGAAACCCTGACAGCCCCAAAGCGCTCATCTCTGAAGAAATGCAGCATGTGCTGGCTGGTACCTGCCATGTGCCCAGACAGAACGCAGTCAGGGGCACGAGGAGGAGGCCCCACTTCAGCCAGACGTCCTCTCCCGATGCACTGGTGGCTGTCGTGGAGCTTCGTGGGCTGCAGAGCCTCAAGCAAACATCTGCAGAGAACCAGAATGAGGAACCGGACAGCAACAGGAGGAGAGCTGATAAATTCCTTTGGGAATGGCACCTCAGTGTGAGGCTGAAAGTGACAGAACCCCACACAGATCTGCTCACCTCTCTGCTGGGTCACAGCAGAACCTGCTTTTGTTCGGGGAAAGCCAAACAACGTTCTTCTGGGCAAGCAATGCGGTATCTACGGAAACCAAACAACATCCTTTGCAGCCTCTCTGCATTGCACGCGTTCCATCTAGATGCTATCGGCTGTCCCACCACCACAAATGACCCTTCCATACCTGCTACCCGCACGCATGTGTTTGTATTACAGCACGTACACAGCGCTGCCGTTTGCTTTCAAATAAATGCCAGGCGAGTGCCTTTCCTTCTCTCTCTCTCTCGCTCGGTGCCCAGCAAGGCCCTCCCCGCCCCCTCGGAGCCCACCCAGCCCTTCCCGCTGCTCTCAGCGCTCACCCCGGCCCTTCGCTCTCGCAGCAGCCGCGGCCCCGCACGCAGCAACAGCCCCCACACCGCCATGGGGCAACGCCGCCGTCGTCTCCGCTCCGCCCAGGCTGACCGCGGCTGCCGCCCCTCTAGCTCCCCCTCTCTATGGTACCGCCGCTTCCCGGAGAGGCCCGTACCGGAAGTGAGGAGGCTCCTGTCTGGCAGCGCCTCTCTATGGTGAGGTGGGGCTTTGCGGCGTGCTCATGGCGGAGGTGCCCGAGGAGGTGCGGCTCTTCCTGCGGCAGCACCCGCTGCTCAGCCTCGCGGAGTCGGGCAAGGTGGGCAGCAGCAGTCTGCGGATGGAGCTGGGGAGGGGGGGTGCTGGGGCCGCGTTACCTGAGGAGAGGCTGGAGCGCTTCCCATGAGGGGAACGAGGCCGCTTGAGCTCAGCCCCCAGGCCGAAGGAGTTTCTCCCGCTGTGTAAATCGGGGAGGGTTGGGGAGGAAGGCCCTGAGAGGAGCTGGGGTCGGCCCTGCTCTGCCCTGCCCTGCCCTGCCCTCCCCCGGGTCATCTCTGAGCTCTCTGACCGAGACTCCTCGTTCTCAGGTGCGGTGCCGGCTGACCGGCCACGAGCTGCCGTGCCGACTGTCGGAGCTGCAGGCTTACACCGACGGCAGGAAATACCGACGGCTGATAAAGACATCCAGAGAATTTGATTATGGCACCTTCGAGCCCCATATTGTGCCCAGCACAAAGAACCTGTGGGTATTCCAGTGCATTCAGTCTCAGTGGCTGAGCGAAGATCTTTTACTTGTTTGTTACATTTGAGCACAGTATGTGTAAGTGAAGGGTTATTAGGTAGCTTGCTTAAAGTCTGTTTGTGGCTCTTTCTTTTTTTGTGTGTGTGTCTCAGACATCAGCTGTTCTGCAAACTCACTCTCAGACACATCAACAAGCTTCCAGAGCACGTCCTGCGTCACGTCCAAGGGAAACGCTATCAGAAGGCACTGAAAACATGTAAGTTGGCTGGCTGTACCTTCAGAAAAGCTGCTTTCTCCCCTGAGCTGTTGAAGTTCCAGTAGCTGTATATGAAGGGAATGGGTAAGTTTGCTCTAGTTGACAGCAATTTGCTGCAATTGCTTTGTGTGCATCTCAGCTGGGAAGGAAGGTCCCGAGAGCAGGGATCAGCTGGCTTCTTTAGCAGATACTTTGGAGCATTCTTATTTGGAAGGAGTGGTACAGAAGATTCCCCAGAGTAGGGGTTAACTTTCCAGCTTTAAGAGTATCTGCATTAACATCTTTCATGGTCTGCAGTATCGTGTTGATTATGTGAACATGTACTGGAGCTTGACGTGCTTCTGAGTCGCATTTAATATAAAGTAGACCCGGCAGTAAATAGGACTCAGGGCTTGGGCAGCTTTGCTAAGTGCTGCTCAATCCCTTGCACCATTAGATGAGAAGTGCCAGAAGGAAGGGGTGAAGTATGTCCCTGCCTGCTTGCGGCAGAAGCAGCAGCAGAGACAGCGCGCTGACGACCAAACGAATGGGAGCAGGCAGCCTCACAGAACAGAAGAATTCTGGGAGCCCAGCTCTCCCAGGACAGATGAGGATGAGGACGGAGAGGAGACGGACGACAGCATGAGCGATCTGTACCCACGTGAGTAAGAGCATTGCCATCGTGTGTGTCCTGCAGCAGGTTTGTCAGCTCATTGCCTCACAGTGCCTTGGTACTGCTGCTGTCTGCTCGCATGCTGGAGGCGTGACCTCCTTCCAGTTTGAGGTTCTTGGATTTGGTAAAAGCTTTCCACTGCCAAATGTGAAATAGCAGTTATCACACAGCTGGATCCCGTAAGGTGTGAGGGAGGGATACAGGATCTGCTGTTTTTTGCTTTAGGTATCACTGCTCTCCTTATTTCTCAGCAAGTCCCGCAGCCTGATGGGAGCTGGTAAGGCTGTTCAACTTACATCTGGAAAACACTGCCTTGCTGTAGGAGAGCAGAGCTTTAAGACCCCAGAACTGCCTGTGTTGCCTGGTTCCCAGATCTGGGCTAATGAGAGCACCAGGTGTTTTTCTAATAAAACTTCAGTGCGTTTGTTACTGAGTATTTCAGTAGTGATGTATATGATGGGGTAATCCTTGGAGGCCAGAGTCAGCTTAGATGAGCAGAAAATAAGGTTACGGGTTATCAGAGCCTGTGTGCACAAAGAACTGATCCTGAACTAAACCTTTTTATTTTAGCTGGACTCTTCCCAGAAAAAAGCCCAGCAGCTCCACAAAACACAGAGGCCAACGATGGTTTTGCAACAGACAGCGAGGACGATGGGGCCGAGCTGAGTAGGGAGAACGGTGACATGAATGGAGATGGTGACAGAATGGATGTCAGCAGAGCAGCTGGCAAGAGGGGAAAGGTGGGAGTCACTTTGCTGTGTGTAGCAGATGGGGAGCGTGAACAGCCATCGTGCTATCCTGTAGGTGGTTTCGGATCTGTTCCTGTCTGAGAATCAGCAGAAGGTGTAAATCTATTTGGGAGAATACTTTCTCCATGTGCCAGCCATTGACTTGCATCCTGAGGTGTGAATTAGTAGCAGTAAATGTTTATCCTGTCTTCTCCAACTGGGGATCTTACTTCCTGTATAAATATCTCATCTTTGATTGAATCCTGCTGTACCATCTTGACAGTAAGACTGTGGGTTCTGTAATCCTCCTCCATACACACACACACACACAGCTAAACAGTTCCAAAGTCATGAACTTGTCCTACACCTTTTTCTGCTCCTACCTGAGGAGCTGACCAGGTCCTGCCTTTGGGTGTGCTTACAGGAGGGTGTGCCCAGATCTTTCTCAGTTTGGGAAGCAGACATGTCGTATACATGAAGGTGAATAAACTCTCTTAGGAATCCTTTCTGATTGTATCAGTTGAAAGGTTAAGGCTGGATGAAGTTTAGGTTCATTTCTGTGGGGAGAGGGCCACTGTTTGCATCTGATGAAACCTCAGAGATGCTGACGTGCAGGATAGGGCAAAAAACCACCATGGCTGCCCTGTGCCCTGGGCTGTGCTTGTTCTGTCTCTTGGTAAAGGAGAGCACGCTTGATTTCTCTTTAAGCAGTTTGGGGCAAGGCTGGGTTTAGTTTCTGGAAAAAGCTGATCGATTTTTTCTTTCTACAGAAACAGTCCGGCCCTTCAAAGAAAAAATTCAAGAGCTGTCATCAAAAACCCAAAAAGTTCAAGAAAACAACCAACGGTAAATAAATTTTTATGATAAAAACGCAGCTTGAAGCGTCTTGTGTAACAATTCCAGGTGGTGCACAAGACCAAAGCGTTCACCTGTAAGCCCTGCTGCCCGTTCCAGTTAACTGTTACAGCAGGGAGAAACAGCAAGGGGGAACTGAACTGCATGTTAAAGCTTTCTCCATCCACTACTCACAGAACAAGAATTACTACAGCAACATAAAGGCAAAGCCACTGCTTGGAACTCTTTCCAAAGAGAAAAAGCATGCACGTTTAAGTGTCACTAGTCATACACTTCAAGTGGATACAAAGATGCCATTTGTTTTTATTTTGATTGTTTCAAAAATCAAAACATTTTCAAACACAACTAAGGTACAAAATACAGCATAAAATGAGAATTTATACTTATTTTTTTTTTTTTTCCACATAGAAAGCAAAAATATATTCAGAATGAATTCCAGAACACTTTGCAGAGCCAATTGATAACTGACATCCTGTTTCTCAGCCACTGGGGGAGGTCACTGTATTTTTGGGAGATGTGTGAATACAGCAGTGTATGTAAGATACCAGAATCTTCTGTACCAGGACTCACAGCTGTAAGTCCACATATTGCGCTGCCTAGAAATACCTTGTAATGCCCTCCACCTTACAGTGCCTCTTCAGTACCAGAATACTTCTGCTGCAAGAGGCAGTAACAGTTCCCTTTTTGGGGTCTTTTATTGGAAGTTGGACTCTTTATTTTCACACAGGAAACTGGTCAGTATTTCAGACTAGTCCATCATCCAGCTCCTTAGTTAGACAGGACACAAAGAACAAGCTGAGGAAGCTGACTAAGGGTACCTACAGAAATTCAATTTATAAATACTACAAACACCAACAGCAGTTGAGAGATCTGAGAATGGCTGTCTTGATGTAGTCTAACAGTTATAGGACCTGCAGTGAAACTGAGCAAAGAACATCCTGTGCTGCACATCAGGAATTGAAAGGACTAGTTTAGTTTGCTATAAAGAGACAGGCACAGTTAACACTTGAGGTAAAAACCTCTCCTGCAAAACCTATTTAAAAGGAAGCCTTCTAAGTGACCTGAACTTCAATGCTGGCTTCCTCTCATCTACCCCCAAATACTCATCTTCCTCCCCTCTTCAGCAGCAGCACATCCTGTGGTTACATGGGATGCTTTTCCCTTAGGATGACAGAATCACTGCTTTAACACTCAGCAGCACCCTTCTGTTTGCCATCTGTTCTATTTAGACTAGTTTTCTCACCTAATAACCATCCAGGAGAACTGTCCAAACCAGTATCCTTACTAGGTAACCCAGGTAATTAGTTCCTGCTGGAGATGGTTCAGCTGAATTGCTCCTTGAACAAACAGCACAGCAGCTTTCTCAAGGGAGACAAGAAATCAGGGTAACGTTAGCAAGTTGGTAGGGCTCATGCTCTCTAAAAATCTAGAGTGCTTTCATGATCTCATGAAACAGGTTTATCTACCAGCAGAGGACAAAAATGCCTCCTCTAAGCAGCATTCACTAAGCATGTTCATGGCACAGAGGCTGTGGCACTGAGGTAAAAACAGAGCCTTGCTCTCTCCTCACTTTTAAGCTGAGGCCTTCCTTCTGAACATGGAAGTTACGCTCCTGACTGCTTACTCACTGTGCAGGCTTTGCACTTGCATTCTTCAACTATAACTGCCTGTAATACACAGTTGAGAACTGGGACTATGGCAGCACACAGCTGACTTCCATGCTCCTTCCCTATGCATCTCAGGTGTACCCAAGATATCATGGGGAAGAGTGAGACTTGGAGCTCAGCACTCCAACCCTTCCACTGTTCAGTCAGCTGAAGCTTTTGCAGCTGAGACTGACAGAAGTGAATCAAAAAAGCAAGAAGACTATAGTAATTAGAAGACTGACTGCTCTCATCTTGCATGTATTTTGTGCGGGGAAAAAGGGAGTTTCCATGGTTCTGGATAAATACTTTCACCAGTAACCTGCAATTCAGGCGTGAATTCGGAGCATACATGGATGGACGATGGGTGGAAACTGGTTAATAGCAGAAAGGAGCTTTTATTATGGAACGTGCAGCATAACGAGGCTCGCTTCCTTGGGAACCCAGGAGGGGGCAACTCTGGGAAAAGAGCGTTGAGTAAAAAGTTCTTTTGGCACAGAATTCTACCAGCATCTAATGTTCTGTCTCTTCAGGAGTAGCTTGCCCCTTCCCTCTTAAAATCTCATAAGCAAGAAGGAATATGACCCCTCAAGAACAGAGCCGTAACTTGTTGGAAAACTCTCCCTTTTCTTACCTAAAGGAGGTTACAGTTACTTTCAGGATTTTCTTTTTGCCTTCCATTTGGGTGCAGGAAAGACCTCCTTCTTGCTAAAAGGAAAGTAATAATGGATTTACAGGCCCTCTGAATAGCAAAATAGCCATGAGTTCTTTTGACACTGCTTTCCACCTTGATTAGCAATGCTATAACCAGTGGAACTCCTTATACACAAGATAGATCTGATGAGGGTGAAAAAGGGGATCCACTTTTAAGTTATAGCTAAAATCCAACATCACACTGAGTGGTACAGCTGTACTTCTCACAGTACTCCAAATTTTAAAACAATGCGGACTTTAAAGAGAGCAACCATTCTACTGCAACTCACTGAAGTACCAGCAAAATGCAGGTTTGCTGGGTTAGTTCCAAATCTAGAAAGTTAGAATGATAAGCCTAGGCAACATTCCTTGAAGAAATGGGATTTTATCTATGATATTACTGGTGCCATCGTAAATCAAATTCAAAACATCTGTGCCTTTAATAAGAAGGGGGCATGTATGTGTAAAATGCTGGCAGTTTTTGTTGAATCCATACAGAATCAGTTCTGATCTTAACATGTTATGTCCCAAAAAGTGTTGCTATTCCTGTTACCACTCTTTCTTCTTCTCATCCATGGAGACTCCACCAGGACCCAGTGCAACCACAAGGAGGAGCCCTCCAATTACAGACATGGTCTGGAAGAAATCATATTTGAGGAAGTCGTGCATGGGCTTGTAGGCTGGGATGGTCCAGAAGGCATTGAAGTAGATGTTGATGCCAAAAAGCCAGATGACTAGAGTCAAGGCAGCCAGCTTCGTCTTGAAGCCAATTGCCACCAAGATGATCAGGGCTGTGCCCACAATGTTTTGCAGAATCTGCAAAGAGGGGAGGTTAAAAAAGAAAAAAAGAAGTCAAAACCCAAAAAGCAACGCTCCCACCAACACACCAAGTAAGATTTTGTGTCTCTTAAACGGATACACAGACATCAGAGCATGGATAAGCTGTTCATCAGAGCAAGCTGTCTTAGTACAGATAATCTAGTAACATTTTTTTCTAAATATTAATTAAAAAAGACTTTAATGAGAAGCAATGAGTAAGACCGACAGCCAACCTGGGAGGTAGCACTTTATTCCAGTTCCTCAACCCATACTTTTTGCTCACGATACTTACATAAAAGAAGTTCATGTCAAAATGCAGCAGTGTCATGAACATGAGGACCAGCAGCACACGGCCCCCAAGCTGCATGTACTGCTTAGGAGAGCTCTCCCGCATAGTGGGGACACCAGCAAACATGCTCTTCCCCTCTGAGCGTGACTCAGCCAAAAGCAGCAGCAAGCCTCCCCCCAGGGCAAGGTTCCTACAAAAAGATACAAGTGGAAAATAAAAGCTTTCTTTTTTAAACAAAACAAAACCAACACAACTGGATCTATAGAGAAATACAAACTATTAAGTCTTATCTGACAATTTTAACTCTAAAGAATCTGAATACTAGTGAGAAGTGATTACTCTGTAACCTGCACTGTGTGCCTGCATGAGAATTTGCAGCTGAAACAGCAGCTTTGTACACAGTGTAGGTTTACACAAGCCTGCATAGACACACACAGCCTGCTAGAGAAGTCTGGCACATGCAGTTCAGGCACAGCTGCTTAGCGTTTGTTATTCTGTGCCTCTGGTTTAACTATATATGCCAAAAAGTCCAGAGTTTGCTTTGAGAACACAGAAAAGCAGTACTGCTAGGAGAAGTTACACATTTACAGGGTTGTAGTAAGCCCAAGAGCACAGATCTTGTGCTGCTACCCCTGTCCTACCCTCAGGGGAGAGGGGTGAGAAGGTAACAGCCACCACTTCACATTTTACAGGAAAGTTCATCATTATCAATAAACTTGTCCTCAACTTATGGAAGATGATACAGACTCGAAATCCCAGAAACCATCCTAGTACCTAAACCTTTCAGTTTTCTCAAATAACACCTTTGGTCTCACATGTAAGCACAGTTGCTCTTTTAACTGTTTAGGAAACAGCAGCTCGCTGATCCAATCCAGATCCTGAGCTCTCGGCAAGGATGGCACAGCAGCAGTTAGATCTTTGTGGGTCAGGATTAGTCTCTTCCTTCTGCAGTGTTGAACCTGCTGCCTATAGCTTATACGAGTGCTGTATATATATTAAGTGCTGGGATATGAATACAAGCAGGCCATCTGTAAAATCTTTCCAGCACTCTGTCCAAAGATAATTCTCTGTCAGAGAATGGAAGCAACAGACAAAAGCTTTTGTTGTGCTTTGATAAAAACTGAAGTAGTCATACCTCATCAAGAACTTCAGGTCCCATAGAATGCTGTATGCAATAGTCTAGGCAAAGAATAAAATAAGTTGAAAACACCATGTACATTGTGCTGAAGTTCTGCATATTTGTTATATTCTCAAACATGTACCATCCATACAAAAGTCAATTAAAAGTACCTTACACTACAGGCAACAAGCTAAACTACACCACCACAGTCCTGTGAGTCAGTGTAAAACAGAACTGAAGCCAGAATTTAACTTGTGCTTCAGCCCCCACAAAAACCATCTGTTTTAGAAAAAATGTTTCAACTTAAAAGGTTCTCTGTCACGGTGGACAGTCCTTCAGAATAACTGTGCTGAATGCCAAAGCAACTGCAAGATCCATGCTTGGTACATTACTGATGTACAGGTAAACTGCAAGTCACTTCTGCTAAATTGGTCAAGGTCAAGTATCGAATCAACAGCTCCAGTTGACTAATTACAATTATATCCAAGGATCTGTTGGACATGCCAGAAGAACAGAAACTGCAAGACAATTCAATGTCACTGAGGACTGGCATTAGGCCAGGGTGGATAAAAATTCTGGGTATTTAAATATGCTGGTCATACTGCAGCTAAGAGAGAAGACTTGAAAGCTATGGTTTAAAAGGTCTGAAGACTCAAGCCTCCTACCTGTAATGCTATAATTCCAAACAGTCCAAAGCAGGCATATTGCACAAAGTTCCTACTCAGCACCAGGATACAGCCGCCTGAGTTGGGGAAATTGAACACAGTTACACTTCTGGCTTGCACAGGAACAGATGCTGCAGGAATGCTAACTTGTTTTGAACTGAGCAGAATCAGATCTCTGTCAGCTGTGCTGAGGAGAGTCAGCTAGGATTAATGGCACGCTGACACAAATCAGTTTCAGAATCAGTGTTTTTGAACACGTTTAAAAAAGATATGTTTGGAATAATCCCATTTATTTCATAAAGAGGAAGCATATGCTGGATGCAGCCCACAGTACGCAGCACTCCGGAGCAGCTGTCAGTATTAAAGCATAAAAAAGAAGCTGCAGAGAAACTCAACTCATCAGAAGGTGAGATTTTGCTTTGCTCTTTCACTTTTTATTCTTTTATTAATGATAACTGTTAGGGCAAACATGCTGCACTCTTTTGCTTTGAAAGCTTTTAGATCTTTCCTCAAGTGTTCCAACAAAAAGCACTGACATGGGAACTATTAACTACATTGAATTAATCTGGAAATAGAATGGTAAAAAACCAAACCCAGGCACAAAAAGTGAAATTAGCAGAGCAATCAAGGACAACAGATGAAGAACATAATGTAAACAGATAAGATGTTATTCCTCTCAATTTCTGGACACCAATTTCACTCAGGAAATATCCAGATGTTCTGCTTCAGGGCTTTGAGTGCCTTTGATATAAGCACTCTCTTGTGGTTGAGGTGCACCAACTGCAGAATAAGACTCTGCCAGTGAGATTAATCTCTATTTACAAAAAAAAAAAAAGCAGACTGTGAAAGTCTTACCAGTGCCCCATTTAAGAAAATGTGATTATTCAACTCAGAGAACTCAGAATTGTGGGAGTGTTTATAGATGGATGGACAGAATTGAAAATAAAACTGTCCTAATAGACTCCTGGCACCTGACTCAAAGGTAATGGGTCACAAGATATTCCTGCACTTGGTTTCCAGGAAAACCTGAAGCAGGTCAGTTCTTTTCATTCAGCCCGTGGAGCTCAACTCTAAGCTATTAACGGCTGTTAACAAATCAATGAGGTGTCCCGTGCTTACATGATTCACAGTGCTTGCATGAGCCACGGGGTGGCAGACACACTGGAGTGCTCAGGCATCCACCTTAACAGCTTTAGAGCCACTTACTCAGCTGTCCGAAGAGATTTACGAACACAAAGATGGAGGCCAGGAAATAGCCACAGTTCCACGTTCCATCAATGTAATCCCTCTGTTCGCTCCACTGGAACCACATGCGGATGCCATCCTCCAGGAAGGTGCTGATGAGGCACAGGCGGGCCACGTGGGGGAGGTACTGCTTTGTCACCCTCAGGAACTGCGGGCAGACAGCACAGTTAGCAGGGGAGGGAGGGCAGAGGGCAAGGTGATACTGCAGGCATAAGAGATCCACTGTTCTCATGCACACACCATCATCAACACCTAGAGGGAAACACAGGCTTGGCGCTACAATTTAATGAATTTCTCCGCCATTCCAGTTTAAGAACACTTGGGAGAAGTAGGGGAAAATTAGTTTTCATGCTCTGCCTGAAGAGGATTTTGGCCAAGGACTCGGGGAAAAGCAGATTCCAGCAGCACCCATGTAACTAGAACTGTGTTTTGATGGAGCTCTTACTGGAGGAAGGCTGACCTTGGTTTTAGTTTGTCTCAGTTTCATGTTACAGCTCAACTGATCTATCAGATAGCCAGGAGCTGAAAGGGCAATCCTACTCCCACCCACATGCTCAGGCACTCAACACCCTGTAACAAACTGATTCAGGGAGTGAGGCTGACAGAGGGCTAACTGCAGTAAGATTAAAAAGCATGAATATGCTTTCTGCCAAGCTAGTTCCCTCTAGCAGCTCATAGAGGCACCACTGCAAAGTATGCGTCTATGTGGAACCTCACCTATACACACAGAAAAACATACTGCATCTGGATTATGACAAGTGCTCAACTTTGTCACACAGCTTCCTGAAGGGAATTGCTAATTAATTACTTAAAGGAGATTTCCACTAGGCATTATCACTCTGAATGCAAGGCAGCACCCAGCTGCCCGCTGCACACACTGCTTTGGCTTGGCCACATCTCTAGAAAGACACATGGAGCGAGTGCGCACTGCTGCTCAGGCAAAAGCTGTCTAGTAAGTAACACATGTAAATAAACCTCAAACTAACTCCACAAGATCAACCAGCAGGCTTTCCACCTTCACATGAAGCAGTTTGGGCAGGCTGACACCTGTGAAAGTCAATGCCTGTGTTACAAGACTTCATGCAGAACGGCCAGACTTACCAGAAATCCCCAATGCGGAATTAGGAGGAGCCATTTAACAGAACTCCAGCATCCCACACAAAGATTGATGCACTGCAAAGCACACGAAGCATGAAGAGGGCATGGGGAAGGCCACATGTGCACAGGTGTTTGCCAGACGGCACTGAACTTTGTAACAAAGCGGAAGAAACGGCAGACCAAGCTTTTCTTTCCTGATTCAGAACTCACTTTGTCTTCGGGTTTGTCAGTACAGCTAATGAGTTTATTTCTGGTCAGAATATTTTCTGAGGCTCCGGAAGCTTTCAGTACACATGGGAGCGAATGGAAGGGACACGAAAACCATTTCTGCAAGTTTTCACTTATCACACTAATTAGTAAGTACTAAAGGCTGTATCAAATCCTATGGAAATTAAAAGCTTTGCTTACTCTGTAACTGAAGATTATCACAAGAAAAAACGATCTAGCAAACATGCTTAACAGTTAATATCAGAACAAACTACACTAGCTGTACTGTATGCATCCAGAGTCTAAGGGTCAAGATTGGAGTTAACTAAGTGCACATTAAGCACAGCTGTACTCTGACTTGGGGCTGCTACCTCAGACTCGTTAAAGCCATGGTAACAGTTGGATGAATGAGTCAGAAAAAGAATTTGTGATCTTTGTCACTGAAGGAGAAACATCTTGGTTTACAGCTCTCTTCTCTCTCTTATTTCACTGTGTGTTTGGACAGCCTGAGGTGAAGAATACTACAGATGAAGTTATTTTGGAAATAGTAAAAGCCAGAAGTAAACAAAATAATAGTTCCCTGCCAAGCTGCAAAACAGGTAACCTTGGTCAAGAGGGATGAAGCACAAGAAGGAAATGCAAGAGGACAGGGACTGAGCACCTGTAAGAAAAGCAGAAGGAAAAAACAAATAAACCACTGCTGTGGAAAGCCTGAAAAAAGAAGGAAGTATTACAGAGGATATCCACTGCCAGACTTCATCTCTGCGGCTTTTGAAGTGGGTCATGTAAGTTTATCTCTCTTTCTCTTCCTTGAAAGAGCTGCCAAGAGTACAGAGCAGAGAGCCAAAAAGACATTTAGCATTTACCTGTTCTCTTGGCATGTAACAGGAATTTAACACTATCTATTAAACACAAGTGTGAACGTCCAATCAGCTGAAGACAAGTCAGAGCGACTGAGGCCTAAAGCAGCCGCAGTGCTAAGCAACCTTATCACGACATGCACCATCTCTAGACATCCATAAGTCATGGGGCTGCATTTATTTAGCTACACACGAGCTGAAGCCATGATGTGCAGCCAGTTTAAAGCAAATTTCAAAGTTCAGAAACAGACTGCATAAACTAGAAAAGGATAGAAAGCCCAAAACAAGAGACTGGTGAGGAAGATCCAGAAAGAGGAAGAATATCTGAATTATTTTATGTCAAAATTCACTTGATGTCTTGTGTGGCAGTTACATGACAAGAAGAGAACAGAAGTAATTTAGGCAAGGACAGAACAAATTAAAGAAACAGGTCTCTGGAAGTAGGACTGAACTAAAGCTATTAGAAATCCAACCTCGTCTCTACACAACATTAGCAGCACGTAGCTGAACACGCTGCTTTTTGAGCCCCCTTCCTATGCTGGTGCATGATTCACATAGATAAAAAGTAGCATGAAACTCTGCAGCTGATAAATGTAGCCAGGCAGTACAGGGGTCTCAAAACACACACCACTGCACACACTGCACTTAAGCAAAAATGAAGTGCTGAGACAGACAGAGGTGGCAGCATTAAAGACTCCATGTCCAGCAATCAGGTGGCTTATTCTGCTCTGGGCTTTGCAGCAATTGTTCTTAGCACACGCTGCCTCCCTGCAAGAGTCAAACACCTAGGGAAAAGATAACAAAATACTGAAGCAAAACTGTCTGACAGGAGAACAGCTGGAGCTGTGATGGCAGTCAAGTCATTAGCATACAGCAGAGGAGCTCCGTGTTGCCACTTCCCCCTCCAATGGGATTAGGAGGGCAAACAGATTTAAATGCTTCTCTCAGTTTGACATGCAAAGGCACACAGGATGATCCAGGAACACCAATATCCAATCTCTGTTCAAAACCTGCTTTTCCAAAATGAGGCATGAAAGATTCAAACCTTTGAAAGGAACAGGCCCAAAGAAACGTAACAGAGAGATCCTTTTTCAACTCCTATGCTCTCTCAAATATATTCCCACCTCCAAATCTGTAAGCATGCAAGAATTCTCATTTTCCTCCAGATTTGCGAGTCTGATTCTACCGAACTTAGCAGAAATGCTTTGACAATGAAGACATCCAAAGTCTAAACACAAAGACTTTTCTCATTTATGTGTTCATCATGTGTTGTGATCACAGTGCTGAACAACCATCTGTTACTACAGAACAACTCTTCTGGGCTTCAGAACATTACCAGTTCAGAGCCTCTGATGAAGATCTACTTGAAAGATCTGCTGTGATTTTGGTTAAGGGGATGCTTTGTTCTCAAGTGAGCTGACAGCTCTAGTAGATACCACTGATTTTCAAGAGCAGGATGCTTGCTACATTTTCATCAACCTGTGTATAAAATTTGTGGAGACCTCACCTAATAATCACAAGGACAGCAGCAGCCATCACATACACAAACAAGTATGAGAGCCTCATCAACAAAAGGCAAAAAAAGAGCTCTGATCCACCAGAACATTTAGTCTTAATCACGTTTTTAAATGCACTAAGATTTCTCATGACAATGCTTTTCACTTACAGAATGTGCTTTATATCAACTCCCTTTTCAAGACGATTATTCAATCAAATCCTTAGAATGATATTCCTTAGTCATCTACTGCATATTGCTGTCACTACTCATGGGAAGAGTCTTCCCCAGCCTGAGAGGAATAGGCTGCATTTGGTTTAGAATGATAAAGAATCAGTACACCAGCATGACTAAGCCAGAGCTTCCAGATTCAGTTCCTTAATATAAAGGTCAGACTAACAATGAAATGTTTTCTTCTCCCTTTTATTACCTTCAAAATGGGATAGAGAAATGTTAGAATTAGCTGAATAACATGCAACAGCATTTACATAGGAAAATTAACTGAAACCCCAGCCTGGTTCTCCCTTACAGTCCTTTCACTGCAGTACAATGACTCAATGTCTCATTGCATTTTTGTCCTTTTTTTTTTTCCCTTCAGAATGGCAGAAATACCAGGCACCCACATTCCTAAAAATTACTGCAGACATTAGAAAAGTTGCTTGAGATTGGCTTTGCTTTATGGGGATTACAAAAGAGAGGCCTACAGTTCTCCAGCTTAAACAACCACTACATACAGCTTTTCTTTGTCAGCATAAGAACAGTGCATGGTGACTGCACTGACAAGCTCAACATGTGCTATTTTAACAAGTATCACTACTGCACACCCACAGGCTACAGATGTGTGCTAAGCTAAACTACTGGCCAGTGTTCACCACAAATGATGTAGCCACCTTGTTATCACCCCAGTCCTCCACTCCAGTAATCCTCTTGTGCAGGGGCTGGTGCCTAAGCATAAAGACAAATGAGCCAATTGAAAATGAAGACTTGAATTCTTTCAGCCAGTTCAGCTTGCCAAGCTGGTGACAGGTAAGTGCTAATGTGTGAGAAGGAAAGTGAAACATGGCCTTGGGAAAAGTGGGACAGCTCTGGTCAGTGACAGCTAGCTGCCCCGCAAGCTTAGCTGCCTTGCAAGGCCATGTCTTCAACGCAGTACTCCACTCTACTGGGATGGTTCACCTGAGAATCAAGAGCCACTTGTTTTACCTCCTGGGAACCTTCTGATGAGTATCTTGACATTTAATGGGTAGTTTTCTTAATTCAAATGGAAATTGAAGCGTTGGAGAAAAACTAAGCCTCAGCGTTTGAACTTAAGAAAAATATGATTCTTGCTTTTATGACATACTCAGTACTTACTGATAAGCCACAGAAGTAGCTGCAACATTCTCACAGTGCTTTATATCACAGAAAGAAAGACTTGTCAGGTTTTGAATACAAGGAAGAAAGCAAGGTTATCAATGAGAGTGTATTCAGGTCCCCCACATAATTGCCCAACTTCTCTAACTCCCTCACTAAGAGATCCAACATACTGACAGTCCAGATGCCCTAGTTATCTTTTTTAGCTCAACGTGAACTAAGTTTCCATAATGTCAAGTGCTCACTTCACAACATATACCAAAGGTTATTGTTTGGTAACTCTCTCCATTCCCATACTGGTGTGATACCGCGTTTTAGCAACAGGCACAGCACTGAAATGATCCGATTGAGCAAGGAGGCAGCCATTTGGAAGCAGGAACATCGCAGCTACTTGAGAGGCAGCAGTTATTTTGCAATCTGATGGGTAAGTGCATGTAAACACCCCAAATTCTGTGACTAAGGGAAAGATTCATCTTTAAATAGTATGTGCTCAAACACAAATCAAATCAGCCATTTAAAACTCATTTCAGAAGGGAGCAGGTCATAATTCTGGTGGACAAAAGAGCTTTCACTACTATGAAAAGTGGGGGTTAGAGACATCTAGAAATAGGCACACAGGAACAAACAGAGAGGTGTTATAAAAAGGTCAGGACAACAGCGTAAATTTTGGCAAGCAACCTGACTGCTATATTGACAGCTTACATTCACCTTTAGAGAACAGGGTAAGTACAGGCTGATGAAAATAATTAGAACACTCATTAAATCGGGTGCTGCCACACGCCACAAGCTCTAAAATGAGTCTTCCATCCGGGGCAGGGAGGAAATGCTGAGCAGGTCTTCCCAGCAGTGACAGCACAGCCCATGGTGCTGCAAGCATTGTACCACTGACTGTTCAGAAGTTTAAACTGCACAGATGGGTAGAATAAGGTTTTCCCAAAGAATGTGATAAACTGTTATTAGATGTTAGATCTTATTTTCAATTACACAAATCACTACAACAAAAGCCTTTCTGACGCTACCGCTGCTTACACACAAAATATTCCTGCTGTCACATGCAGTGATTATAAGCTTCTATTTCACAGAAACCTGTAATGGCTGAAATCAAGGTGAGAAGCACCGACACAACACCTGCTCATTTGCTTTCCTCCCACCCCAGCCGCAAGCACAGCACCCCACGGCCAGGGCCTCCTCGCTGGGAGCCTCCCCAGCAGCCAAGGCCTCGTAAACCACCAGAAATGGAGCCCATCGCCTTCCCTCCACACACCCCGCGGGCAAACCTCGGCCTCCCGCTCTCCCCCCGCACACCCAGCAGCGGGAGGAGGCCGGCCGGCCTCAGCTCCAGCTCAACCACCCGGCGGGCAGGGAACACCACGGCCTCTCCGCCCCGTGAGAGCCCGCAGCCGCTCCCTCAGCGCCGGATCCCAGCTTCAGCCCGCCTCACCGCCCCCTCCCCACCCCAGGCCTTCCCCGGGGCCCAGCGCTCACCCACCTGATCCGCGAAGTCCTCCGCGGTGCTCATGATATCGTTCTGACCCATCGCAGCGGGGAAAGGAGCGCCGCTGCTATCACGCGCCTCGGGCCCGGCCTCGCGCTGAGGGGCTGCGGCCGCCGGGAAGGAAGAAGGAAGGAAGAAAAGGAAAGAAGAGGAAGGCGAGCGCCGGGCCGCGCCGCACCGCACCACCGCTGCTACTGCCACGTAGGCCAGGCCTTAAAGGCGCCGCGCGGGCGGCAGCGCCAACACACGCGGGGCGGGCGGGGCCCGGCAGGAGGGGCGGCACCACCACTGCTGCTCCGCGCTTAAAGGGCTCACGGCGGCCGCTGAGAGGATGGGGTGCGTGTGTGTATGGGTGTCTACAATGCTGAGGGCGGGCTTCCTTTTTCCCTCAGTTGTGTAGAGCTGTATTAAAGCTGTGCTCTGTTTTTTCAGACCAAAAGCGAGGCTCGGCGCGCAGGGCGGGATGCCCGCTGCTCCTTATCTCTTCACGGAGTTGCCCGTGATTTGCTTCTCGCAGGCTGCGCCTCAGCGGCGATAGCACTGCGGGCAGCGACGGGGAACGGCGCGGCTGAACCGCTCGGCTGAGTCCCTGCGCGCGGGGCTGCGCTGCCATCTGCGGCTTTCCTGACTCTATTGGTTGCGTATTTTTTTTTTTTTTATTCCGAAGGGGAGTCGGGGGGGAGTTCTTCCTGTTTTAACTGGAAATCCTCATCCGGGAAGACATCTCTCGAAAAAGAAATAAATAAAAGAAACGGCTGAGGTGCTGCGCCCAACCCGTGCTGTGAGGGGGGCCAACCGCCATCGCCTCAGTTTGGGCGGGAACGGCGGCGCGGGAATCGTCACACAGCTCAGCCCCACAGCACGGCCCCGCAGCACAGCCGGTCCCACGGCCCCGCCTCTGTCTTCGCCTCAAGCTCCAAGCCGGGCCCGCCTCTCCATGGAGAAATACGAGGTGGTTCCCCAAGTGCCCGGCGGGGTCCGTGTGTCTGTAGGCTGGCTTATTGCTGGCACTCTGTGCCCCACAGGTTCTTCAGCGGCTGCAGCCCGGGGCGTTGGGCACCGTGCTGGTAGCGGGGCTGAAAGCGGAAAGAAGCCCGGAGAAGAGATTTGTAATAAAGCAGGTGAGAGGGCGGTTGCTATGAAAACAAGACGCCGTCTGCGTGTTGCTCATCTCTGTGGCCCCTTCTGATAACAACAGGTGAATGTGGTGGGCAGCTTGGCTGTTTGGTAAGCTTGTACCTCACACATTGCTGTGCTTCTGAGAATGACCAGAATATTGAGAAAGCTTACCAGAATACTGACATTGAATTGCAGAAAGTAGGTCTACCCAGTGTGTTTTGTGCTGCTGCTTTGACAGTGCAGGAGAGCTGGCCTGCTGTCACAGTCATTTATAGCTTTGTTTCTGTCTATATCCCAAAAACAAGACCATTCCAATCATGAGAGATTCAAGTTATTGATTTAAACTTATGTCAGTTCTAATCTCAGCAAGATCGTGCTTCCTCAAAGTTTCATTTTCACCATATTACAACCTCAACTTTGTCTTCTGTTTGGCACAGGTTGAATGCACTGATGAAAAGCAAGCAAATGAGGCGTTGAAGGAGGTATCTGCAATTCTTCTTCACTAGCTTCACTTGCAAAGACCAAGCTCTTAGCAGAACAATGTTTTTGTGACGTTTTATCTGAGCATTAAGTGTATAAATATGGGAAAGGGCAATCTCAGGTGTTCTCCCTGCCCTCTGCTTGAGTTCAAGCCAGAATTTCTTATTAAATGTTCCCATGTTTGAATGTGTAGATTCACAGTCACAAACAAAACTACAGGGCGCTAAGCTGAATTCCTATTACCTTTTCCAACAACAGTAAATAGGTTAAAGTAAGTGGAGTATACAGGGTTTTTTTCATCAATATTTTTTTATTTATCTGTGCAGGCAATGGGTTTGCTAAAACTTCATCATTCAAACATCTGTGCTTACAACGAATTGTTTGTGACTTGGGATAATGAGGTGAGAATTAACTAGGATTAGTTGTTGTTAATGTAGGCATATAGGTATGTTTGGGATCATTGGTGTAAGATAAGAGGTTGTTTAGTATGAAATTAACCTGTTTTTTAATTTCTGAATAATCATGGTGAGAATTATGAAGCTCTGTGGATTGGTGTCCATCATGTGGCAGTACTGCATGCTGGCTCTGATTTTGAAGTCTGCTGCTGCTGTCCTGTTTTCTAACGCATACTTGATTTTGAGCTGCTTTTGTCCCATCTGCAGCAAACCAGTGTTAGAGAAAAAAAGCAAAACAAGAAAATTCCCTCTTCTGTCAAAAGGCAAAAATCCTGAGGTTTTATGCACAAACAGATAGCACTCAGACGAAATTCATGTTGGCTTTTATGGATGTATATTTTTTACTTGAATTGTCCCACGTGGTTTCATATAAGAAACACCTGATAACGTTTTGAACAATAGATGCTCTGTTTTTAATATAAATGCTGTCTGCTTTGTGAGAAATTAAACGTCTCGGGACGCCTTGGTATTGGTGAACATCACATCTACCAGCTTGGCCAAGTCCTTGGTTTTATCTTTCTTACTGGATATGTCATTATCTGCAAGCAATCAGTCAATCTTGGTGTGATGCTTTATTACAGATATCATCTCTATTCCTCTGTCTGGTAATGCAACACTCAGGCCAAGTAGATCTTTCATCTCTGATCAAGACAAAAAGGCAGAAGCCGGAGAAAATAGCAGACATGGTAAATTGTGCAGAAGAAGCACCTAGCTGAAGTGACTGAATCTCACTGCATGTATATTTCTTCCTCTGTCTTTCTAAAAGTCATCCCTAAGACCTTCAAAGCGCAGCGTTTTGCTGGAGGGTGCTTTTGGAAGCTTTGTCCTTAATCACCGTGGCATTTCTGTAACACTAACTCTTTGTGTAGCTTGTTCTCAAGCAATTACATCTTTCCCCATTTTACATTTTTATCCATGAAAAATGCAGCTAATTGTTATTGCTGAGCACACCATTGTGTGATGAGCATGTTTATCTATCTGGAGAAAATAGTACTTATTGGTTGGACCTTACTTCAAACAATGATATTCTCTTGTTGAATATCTGATTTCTTTGTTATGTTATGTGTATGTTATGCTTTCATGTATATACCTAACAACAGGTGGTGCTGAAGTTTCTGGGACAGATGGTGGATGCTTTGTTTTATATACACAAGCAAAATATTTTCCACAGGTGAGCAGAAATCCTGTTCTCTTTGTTTGATGAGTCATTCGTTGTTCTTCATTCACTGTTCTGAGACTGTTGGCTCAGTACAGCTGCTCAGTTATGAAGTGATTTTACTTTTTAATTTGTGAAGGTGTGGAAATGTGTAGTTATATATCATTAGAACCTGATTTCACATGCTGATGGAAAATATTTGTGTTGCAGAAATCTCAAGCCATCAAACATACTTGTGACTGGCGAAGCATCCTTCAAGCTTTGTGACTTCAGTACAGAAACACTTATGACCGATGAATGGAAATGGAAAATAAGAGTAGAAGAAAGTAGATATGTCTTTTTGCTTTGCTGTGCTTTGACAATACTTTTAAAAGATTCAGTTGTGGTGGATGTTTTTAATCTTTGGAGAAAAACAAGCCACAAAGTTGTCTAGCTTTCCCCTCCTCCACATTATACCACAACTGTTCTTCAAAAATATGAATAGAATATTCATGGTCAGTTGCCTGCAGCATTAACTGTATTCACAATTGAAAACTGTAAATCTCAAAGCTCCTCCACAACAAATACAGTTGGAATCCTTTTTTAGCGTGATATAGAAGCAGCAACATCTTGAAAAATCATTTATTAGTTGTAGTGTCTCTCTCATTCTGTTGCAGCATATCAACAGTGGAAAAAAAAAAAAACAAAAAAAAAAAACCAAACAGCACTCTGCTACGTGTCTCTATAACTCGTAGACATACAACTATTGCCTGCAGTTCATGCCTGCACAAGCAGCACTGTGCGTAGCACAATGTCAGCAACGTTACCTTGGGATTCTTGTTTCCACAGATTGCAAGTGTTGGATGGCTCCTGAAGCATTCAGTTTTTCTTTCAGTGATAAGTCTGACATCTGGGCTCTAGGGTGCATCCTGCTTGACATGATGACCTGCTTAGTTTTGAATGTATGTAATGATGTTTCATTATGGATTTAAAATATGAGCCCACTGCAGAGCATCTGTAACTGAGGGTGGGAAGGCTCTACTGTTCCTGTACTATTTACAGGCAGAAGAAATCACTTTGTTACTGCAGGATATAAGACGAGATACCAGCCATCTTGAAAGAGTTCTGCCCCTAATGCAAAAGGAAGATAACAGTCCTTTGCCTTTATTCCCAATTTTATCCATGATGCTACAGATCCAGCCCAGCATGAGACCCACAGCAAAGTGAGTTCTTGATGCTTTCCCTTTGTGTCCTAAACCCCACCTACCTTCACAAAAACTGTTTGAAAGGATTTGAATCAAAGTTATTTAAAAAAAAAAAAAGTGAGAGGGAGACTTGGTGTTCAGCTTCTAGAAATGGGCATCCTGATTGTTGTCCTTGTTTTGGAGATTTGCATGGTAAAATCTCATTGCAGGCAACACATTGCATTTTGAGAATGTATACATTTCAGTGTACAGTGGAATATTTTGGTACTGTATCCTTCAAAAAAGCCATTAAGTTAAAGCCCAAGTCTGGCTTGCTTAAGGTTAGCTTCTTCATCAACAGCTTTTAAGTAAATTCTGTAAGTTCTGTAAAATATGTATATATACCTATTCTTCAAGCAGTATTATTTAACTTTTTATGCCAAAATGAAATGAAGCCTGTAGAACTTTCTCTGTAACTTACCAATCTAACATACTGGTACTACTTTTGTCTCTCCTAACTCTAGGGATCTGATCGATGTGCCATTTATTGGGGAATGCCTGGTTGTTGCTGGTTCATCTTTAATAAAACGCAGGAATTCTTTGCCTTCTTGTGTAATAGATGCGTTCCTTAGGGGGGGAATTGGAAGCATTCTAGGTAATAAGAAAAATAAGGCAAATTGAATATAATGAATATAATAGCCTTTTTTTTTTTTTTGTAGGAAAGAAACCAATGTCATTTCCATTCAGCATGTATTCTGCTTGGAAATGAACTATTTCACTTTATTTCAATTGAAATGGCATGCTCTTCAGTGGAAAAATCACTGTACAGCCTTGTCTGCAACCTGCTCGGTTTAGCAGCTCTTTGTACTGTGCACACCAAATGGGGCCAGAAATAATTTCTCAGGAAGCTTGGGAACCATGCTTGCTTTGCCTATATACTGCCATGTTTGCCCATGTATGCCAACGAAAGATCTGCTCTGCTGTTTTCTTTATGAGCAAGGATGAGGTTGTCTTAATGTAAAAGGCCACGTGAGTGATTTAAGGCCCCTAGCCCTGCCTTGATTCAGTGATCTAACAGTTCCCCAAAGTGTTCGTGAAGTACAGAGGTCACTGAGATGGAAGATAACACACTGGAATATTTAGTGATTGATGCTTTAGGGAAGAAGGGCTTCCCTTTCAACAGCCACAAATTGCATTATTTCCATTTATGTGAATTTGTGTCTTGCACAAAAATAGATAAAGTTTGAGTGATTTTTGTCAGCGTTTTGTTTCAAATGATGAGAAGAATTTCCTTTTCTTTTTTTAACATAGAATTCATGCAGGCTTTCTGGGATGTAGAAGAAGCACAGGCTAGAACCATGCAGCACCTCGCCCGCTTTGTAGGAGATAAAAGTGGTAAGGTCCTGCTTTGCTCAGTCATGCTTTTTTTTTCCTTACCTTTTGAGATAACTGGAAGAAGAAAAAAATCTCACAGCAATGATAAGTGAAATTGCTCTCTTTCTGATCCTTTGAACGTGCTGAAACAGACCAGTCACTGAGGTGACTGTGTTGGTACTTGTTTGTAAAAGTTTTTTTTGAAACGTAGAGGTATTTTACTGGGTAAGAAAACTGGGATTGGAAACATAGTGATGTTTAAATTGGGAGCTGAGTTGAATGGTCAAATTAACATTAATTGAGGAAGGTAATTCATATAATAAAAAATAAAACACAGAAGTGTTTAATATCTGTAATTAGTAAGTGTAGGGAACTGTTAGGTCAGGGTGAACTGGTGATTGAGCACCTGCTGAAGGGCTGTGGCTGCCCATGGAGCACAGGCAAATTGTTTGTACCTGTGCTCCCCTCACGACCAAAAGGGACCCAGCTCTGTAAAGGGCTCATCTAAAGGCCAGGCACTGAAGGGAGAGCATCTCTTGGAGCTGGGCTGCTTCCTGAGGAGTGCTGTGCAGCCAGAGAGCTCATTCACCACCTGGGTGAGTTCAGTTCTTTCTGTGTGTGGATATTGGTCCACCTGCAGATATTTTGCCTGCTTTTGCCACAATCTGCCAGAAGCAATTTTGCTTCATCATCAGCAGAACAAAAAGGAAAGAACAACTTTTCTTTTTTCCTCAGAATTGTCTTCATCCTCACCACTCTTACTGAAGAAAAGTTTATAATTCTCTTCGGTTCAGCCATGTTTTGAAATATCCCATCGTTTGCAGGGACTCAAATTTATTTGAAACTGAAACTCTCATGTTTTGAAGCTTAACCATCTTCTGAGCAATCCAAGCAACTGATTGTCTAACTGAATGTTATTTCTCTTCCCCACAGCTCTACCCTGCCTCCTAGCATTCACTGAACTGATTGCTTTTGCCATGAAGAGTCATATAGATTCTCTCAAGTTACAAGTAGATGGTTGCAGATTATTGCTTGAAATTCTTAGTCAAGGTACAGTTATGAGACTTCCAATTAATGCTGGGTAATGCAGCCTATAGTGTTAAATGTAGGAAATAAAGTTTGAAATGGGTTCTGAAATATTCCTAGGATCTAAATTTAAGGTAATAGAAGAATTTATTCAGCTTTAATAAAAGCCTAGGTTCCCATGGGCTTTCTTTAGTGTAGACATAAATCAATTCTGTGCTAAAGTGTAAATTTTAAATCCAGGATGCTGGTTTTAGGTTGCTAAATCTGTTTCTTATTATGAGTAAGAGATTTTCAGTGCTTTGTTATTTGAATTTCAAAGGATAAAAGCACACATCTTGCTTTCTCAGACTGTTCCTTCTGCCTTTTTCTTGGCGACGTACCACTGTAATAACTGACTACAGGATTGAGTAATAGGAGTTATATTTCAAGAAAAAGAAAAGAATTTTAAATAGGTTTAGGATTTGTTAGGTGAAGAAATGCTGTTAGTTGAATGCTCTATTTAAGAAGAGAGCAGGAGGTTCAAACTTCATTCAGAGCCACTGAAAGCCATGTTATTCTAATGCTTGACAGCTCTAGAGCAGGATGTGGTGGTGATTCTGGGAGAGGATGTGACCAACTCTCTGTTAGAGACGGTGAGAAGGCACTCTGAAGATGAAGGATTTCTTTCATTGATCTGCCCGTTACTGATGATGATTTCATCTGATGGTTGGTCCCTCTGTTGTTTGTTTTTTTTGGGGGGTGCATATTCTTATTTTCCCACTTTTTTATGTAGTCTGAGACACATGCAAAACAGATGGGGTGTTTGTAGGCGAGGTGCAGTATCTGTTCAACACCCACCAGAACGCTCATTCAGAAGAGTGTTTTGTTGGTAGGGATTTAGCAGAAGTGGGTAACCTCCATAGGCTAACTTGTACAATGTGTCAGGAAGGATCTACATTTATATAACTAGTGTTACTGAGTAACACCAAACTTAATATGCTGTTTCCAAACTCTGATGAGGTGATTTCCACTCAAGTTGCAAACGCTTATGAGTGGAGGAATTCCTCCCCTCTCGTTTCCTTTTCTGTTCTCTCAATTGCAGATCTGTAAGGAAAATTGATTGACTAAAATCTGTTTGAAAAAGTCACTTAAACTAAAGAATTTGCTTAAGTACATTGCGTTAAAGAATCCAATCTGTTTTCTTTTTTCTTGTGATATGTTTACTGTTTTTGTTTAAATACTGTTTTTGTTTTTGTTAAATGTTGGAGTTATCTGTTGCGAGGATGGTGAGCAGGACAAAGATGCTAGATTTCATAGGATTTCTTTTTGTGTCCCCTCCAGAGGTTGCTGCAAAAAATCTAAGGAAAGCTGGATTAACTTCAGATCTTCTGTCAATTTTACAAAACTTTATTCATAATGAGCAAATCTGCCACTCAAGCTGTGCAGTTCTCTGGAGCTTGGCTGTGAGTGGTGAGTGAAAGATATGCACACTAAGATGTGAAATGCCCACCCTGTGAACTGTTTTCAGTCTGAAATTGTTATTTTTGGAAGATTCCTGCTGTGGTGTCCAAATATAATTTAAGTGGCAGAGGAAACTGGTTCCTGGAGAAGTTCAGCTTTCTGCAATAGCCTGTATTGTTTAGTAGTGCTGTAGAACTTGATTTGCACATTTTGAATTTGTTCCTTTTCTGTGCTAAAACAATGTGTTATTCCAGTGCCGTCACCCATTAATGTTTTACTGATGTAATTTGACATACCTCAATGCGTTTCTTTTTTTGTTATGGTAATTTAGAGAACAGTGTAGACCAAGTGGTGCTGCAAAGTGCTGTCCCTGTTATCACTGCGGTCATTCAGGAGCACCTCCAGAACGGAGCAGTTCTGAAGTCAGCTTGCTCGGTTTTGTGGGCACTGTCCCTGCAAGGTGTGTTTTCCCAAGGCATTTTCATTGTCCCCTCTGCATAGAAGAGGCCAAATACTTCTGTCGGTTGGTTCTTGAAATACAGACTGCTCGGCCTCCGCAGGCTCTGCAGGTGGCAGCAGAGTCAGAAACTTCGCCTCTTAATAAACCCCCTCGTGCTCGCTTCTGTCGCTGTAATGAAGCTGTTCTGGAAGAACCACGGCAATTATGTAACCAGATGCTGTTGATGTGTGGATACTGCGAGGATCCACAGCCACAACAGTTCGTGTTGTGCAGAGCGTCCTGCCGGGCCTCTCTCTTGAGACCAAGAGTCCCACTTGTGTTACTCTGTTATGTGCTGCTATCACGGTGTGTGCATATATACAGGTTTTGTTTAGGGCCGTTTGCTTTGTAATTTGGCAGTGTTTCAGATGAAAAAGTAAAACATGTATCTCTCTCATCATCGTTCACACAAATGAATGCATCTTTGCAATACTGTTCTGTTTCTCCCACATGCAAGAGTACTGCTGTATGTTTACATACTGCCCTGTGCTCCTACCACTGTTTTCCCCAAGAGGAGATGAAAAAGGACCCATTGAGCAGTGCACTCTTCTCCTTTTTAATGCCTACCACTAGAATATGTTGAGTGTTTGGGATTCTCCGTTCCTTTTAGCTTGGAGAGTGCAAGGAAATCCTGACATAAAAGACGTTTCAAGTTTACTTCCTAGGCTTCTAGAGGAACTTGCAATAAGACTTTATTAGGCCTATAAGACAGTTGTATGGGCTTTCATACCCTTTCTTTCTTTTGATGCCTTGTTAGATGTCCTTTCAAAAACAGGAGGCAGAAATTGAGATGAGTATTTAAAACATTATAGTGTTTTGATTTATTTTGTTTTAAAGGTTTCTTAACTGAAAGTGACTATGAGCCCGCAACAGCGCTTCTGATGGATGCACTGAGGATGAACCTGGAAAAACCAATGCTGGTGAATAATACCTGCCTGGCATTAGCAAGCCTTGTCAGGCTATCTGGTAATGCTGAACAGTTTTTGTTAATTGCAGATCACCTCAGATGTAGACATTTCCTATCAGTTCAAGAGCTCATAGTGGAATTGAGATTGTCATTTGCTCTGCTTTGTTATCATTTCTTTCTTGCAGAACAGGGAGGAAGGACAGTAAAACTGGAAGTGCAATTTTTTTTCTTCTTGTGGATGTGGCATGCATGTCTGAGAAGCAGATCAGCACAGACTCATTGAGGGTTCTCACTTTATTTACACTATAAATGGGTAGAGCTCAGAGAAACAATAAATACGAAAATCTTACCTCTGCTATGCAGCATCATGCTGCATGTATGGTTCTTTATTGTCCAAATAATCTTCAGAATAACTTTTAGAAAGGCTGAAAAAAATGGACGTGACTCCCTGGAGAAATGTTATGTGTGCTGTTAGGGGCAAGGGACCAGAAAGCAAACAGCACAGTCTGCAGCTCCCAGTTAGTCCAGCAGCACTTGTTTCCCTTTCAGAAATAGCAGCTTTCAGATTTATAACAGATTCAAAAGGCAATGGAATAAACCTGATCAAAGATGCCTACCGCTTCTACTGCGATGATCCAGAGGTGGTGGAAAGTATCTGCGTGCTGATTAATGAGATGGTTCAGTACGGTAAGATGGTGGTGTTACTTGTCCAGTCTCTTCCCCCTCCCCCAAAAAGAACAAACAGTGAGGAAGCAGCAGCTACTCAGGTAAATTAAATCTCTCTGAGAAGGCTTACTATGTATCTGATGAGGGAGGATGAATTGGAATGTGACTTCATCCCATTCTTTCTTGTCACTGAATAATTACAAATGCCCTTGTAAATGTACAAATGTTCTAACTTCACTTTGCATTCTATTTATGTCGACCTATTTCCTTTCTGCTCCCTTTTAGTCCCTGCTAAGACCACTGCAAATCATACAGTAACCATGAATTATCCTTTTCATTTATGTTCTAGATGACGTTACGCCGGAAATGGTGTCACAGCAGATGGAAGAGCTGCTGTCTGAAATCAAAAGCCGGTTTCCATCTAGCGTGGTACGTAGAAGTCAGACAATAAAGGGTGCCTAATGTTACAGCCTTTGTCATTCTCAAATGCTGGAATTACATACTGCAGAACTTTACAGAAGAGTTGTTTATATATGTGTGATCAGTGAGGTTGTACAAATACAATTCTGATGGTCTGCCTGAAGGGTTAAATTCCAACACAGTCATATAAGGGAAAAACAAACTGTGAAAACACCAGAAACTGTGAACAGATAACAAAGTTATTCAGGCTATTTAATGTGTTATTCTAAAATTTCCTTTACAATGGCTTGCTGTCAGGTAGCCATCAACTCGAGAATTAGAAGCTGTCTTTTTCCCAGCAAGGCAGTATAACTGGTTACTCTTATGACACTGCTTTTTTTAGTTATGCACTTAGTCTGCCTACATAAATTGTCTCAGACAGAAGCAAGCAAACTTTTTCTCCACTGTCTCCTGCAGGCACTGCCTGAAGCATATTAATGAAAGCAGAAACTATAAGTTAGTGCAGTTAAAAAAAAAAAACAAAAACAAAACAACAACCAGAAATGAAAAGAAAGCAGCTCCCTGTTGTAAATGCAATTTGTTGTTCCCTATGTCCTATGATGACAGACGAGGCAGACAAACAAGACATGAATCTCTTAATCTAGCAGTACACTTTGTAGCATGTAACTGCTAACTCTCCAAAAGCTGTACCTTGCTACCTTCCACTGTTCAGATTATTGAAAGCACTGCATTAGTATTCAGTTTGATAATTACAACTGCTTTAGATTTTGCAGATCACACCCCAAATATTTAAAACATCATTTATTTTAAAGGTCTACTTTAAACACAGTTCTTTATTAATAAAGAAGTATAAAAACAATTAAAACAACAAGGTGGTCTTATTTATCAGTTCTCATGTTTCTCTCCAGGAGATTCTGAGCCTTGTGGATACAGCACTTCTGAAACTGCAGTAAAGGAAAAGCTTCCTGTGTAAGAACAAGACGTGCAGACTTCTGGCTCAGATATAAAAGCTTGGATCACCCTGAAGTATTTTACAAGATATTTCTCACCAGGAAGATTAATATTGGGCTATTAACAGTACTTAAACAACTCTGTGTTCTGTTTAGTTACCACAACTGAGAGACTAATGGCAATACTTAAGAACTTGCCTTACTTTGTAGACTTCCAAAATATCCAAAATAAAGGTTCTAGTCTTGAGAGTAATAGTAAAGCAATATCAGTTTCTTCTCGCACCCATCATAATTTAAACACTCTCTCTCTTTATTGCTCATTTAGTATTTATTTCCTTGCAATTTCGGATGAACTACTTCACAAATGCAGGTATTTGGCAGTATTGTTTAATTAGGTGCATGCCCTATCCAGAAAGGGGCAGTATTCTTGTATGGCAACATTCATGTGCTCTGCTGAGCTTTTGTTTGTATTTTATCAAATTGCTGCTGTTAGTTCTGAGTAGCCTGGGATCTGACAGTGAAGCAGCAAATGCAGCTAAAGAACACAGTGTGGAATCATGCAAGGTTCACGGTTTGTCTTTAGCTTTGTTCTTAAGAGCAGCTTCCCATTTCTTTTTCTCTAAGGTGTACAGTCTCATAGCTGCTTGTGCATCCTGAATCTAAAAGAAAACAGAACAGGAGGCTTAAAACATGGCTTGACATGATTTTAAAATGTTATTATTAATGAACAGTGAAATCTTTCATTTGAATGCATCCTTTCAAGCAACATTTTGTAATCTCCTTCTAGATTCAGATCTTGAGTGACTAGTGCAGGAAGGTGAGCATGTAAGTTGCCCACTACAGTGCCATGCATTCTCTGATTGTGACTTGGAAAATCATTATGAAAAAATAGTCTTGATTACAGGATCTTGGAGATACCTTCATAATTTGCTTGTTTTTTTCCAACTCCTTTACCTGTTAGCTTCAATGTTTCACTGGATAAGAGGATAAAACTGCTGAGAGTAGGCTCTCACTACTGATGCATTTATTTCTACCCTATTCATCACGGCACAACAGTGCAGTATGCTGCTTTTAATGTAAGCAACTGGAACTTTGACCTTATTTTTCTCCCTGGGGATCTTAAAATAACAAGAATTAAAGTAAAAATCAGTATTTAAAAATACAGATGAAACATGTGCTACTAAGAAAGCCTAGATGGCAATCTTTTTATGTGACTGTATCCAAGCAGAGCTTGCTGACTTTGATTGTGAGGTGAGAATGAAGGCACAAGACTCTGGACAGAACTCTGATCCCAGAACGAACGCGCACCCTGTTGTTTATCTGCCCTAAAAGGCTGCACTGATGAGATACGTACCGAGCAGTGCTCTGATGTCTGCACTTGGACGTCTAGAAGTCTATTGCAGAGCAGCTTCAACGATGGCCGTGAACTCTACAAATATAAAGATTGAATCGTGCTTTCTCACACTGCTTGAATTATCTACGTGTCTATACAGCCTCCCTTGGTGAACTGGCAAGGAGAATTACTGAATTACGAGGCTTATGCACACCTGTATGCACCGCTTAGAGGATTCTTTATGTAGTACCATAACACAGGTTTATGTTTGAGGTGTTTTACTGTGAAAAACAAACAGTCTGTAGTTATGAAATATAAAATAAGGTCCTATATCTTTATTTCTGGAGTCTAAGTAGAAACTTGAAACCATCTATTTCTTAATATCCATATGCAAATGACACTGCTAAGAGTATTGCATATCCTTACCATAACTATAACTTACTAGAACTGTATAATCTTATTTTGCTATTCCAGAACAGCATTACGAAGGTCGTGTGCATGCTAAGGAGTGGGAGGACTGTTGAATGTTGTGCAGAGGCACTGCACGTAATATTTGCAACTAACAAAGTAACATTGCCTTGCTTTAAATACTAACCAAGCATTCAGTCAGATCTGTATTTCCAACCAGCAAAAAGTAGAGACCCCTGTTTCAGGTTGGAAAGAAGAAATGAGGACAAGTGAGGTGAGCGTAGGAGTGAGCAAGCTAAAAGCTGGAGTCAGCAGCTCTGGTGTCAGTTAATCAAGGGGTTCCTTTCCATCACTTTCTTACCTTGACTCTCTGTCTGAAAGGTTTGTATTTCTGGGTGTCGCGTATTTTCTTCTTAGGATGGTCAAGAAATAGGACCTGAAACAAATCGTATTTCCAGTGTAAAGGGTGCTGCTACATAAAAATGTACACAGCTGAATGTACAGCTTGCTGCTCTTCGGTATCCAAATCAGTGCTATTGAGATCAGTGTGGAAGCTGAAGAACTTGGTGCCATGAACAGGGGTACACTTGGTACTGCACGAGAGGACAAGAAACCGAGCTAACAGTTAAGAAAGCAGCAGCTGAGTTCAGCTGTGTTATGTGACTGATCCAGGAAGATAAATTCATTAATTTTCAGCGTTTGGAGCTTTGTTACCTTCAGGTCATTGTGTAATGCATGCCCGACTAAAATCCTTCCATTCAAGATATCAGCGACCTCCTTCTGAACTGTTTTAAAATCTTCACCTAAAGACACCACGCAATGAAACACTTTGCATTAGACACATCAAACATCTGAGCAACCTACAGTTAAAACACGGCATCTTTCTGGTGAAGACAGCTCTGTGTTTTGGGACTGTGCTTACACCAACCTGTCCTGCACCATCGATGTACAAACCTGTCTTTAGATGCTCAGGCCGGATGCCACTAACGGCTGTTCTGTAATCTGTCACCTCCTCCGTGGGCTTGACGTACTTGTCATAAATGCACTTTCCAAACCGGTTCACGATGGACACACGGGCCACGATGCTGTCTTCGCCGTTGGCTCCCACTCCCACCATCTCACAGTCCATAGCTACAGCTCTTGTAAGACTGAAAGAAAGGACAACTCAGTGATGCATCTCTTAACGGGGACAGCACAGCAAAGCTGCGAGGCTCACACACTGATACAAACAGGAAAAACTCAGCAGTTTGACTGGCAGCAGACTCAGGCACCAGCTTAAACTTTGCCTGCAGTCATTAGAAGGTAATCTTGATGCTGTGCTTCCTGCTGGAACACCACTCACCCTCCAGAAGACTTCTCTTTAACCAGCATCTGCTCCACAGACCGTTTGGACTGGCCTGGTTCAAGTCCCAGTTTCCTTCTAGCAACTTCTGCTGCTTCGGGTCCTATTGCTGCTTCGATATCTTTTGGATCAACATCATCAAACCAGATGTCAGCCCTGGTAAGTATAAATTTAATTTCATTAAGTAGTCTTAAAGTGACTGTGCATCTCTACAGTGTACAAAAAGCAGATTTATCTTTTAGAATCAAGAAATCAGCTCTCTGAAAAGTAGTCTATGCTGTCATCTGTGCAGATTCATTGCTGTATGGGAGGAGGGATAGCATGCATCTGCTGCTGCCCAAAACAAAGCCTGGAAGAGCACAGCTATTAGGAGCATACTTCTCTGTACACCTCCTAAAACAAATTTTCATATGCATGTACTGATGCTTGAAGTACTCACTCTTTGGGCTGCTGTGCTGTATCTTCAGCTTTCCTCTTCTTATGTTTCACGTCGTTCTTCTCCTTTTCAACATTGCCATTTTTCCTTTTCTCTTTGCAGCCCTTCCCATCGCTTTTGGTGCCGTTTAAATTCTTGTTCTTTTCAGCTCCGCTGGGTTTGGGTTCAGCCACAGGAGTGCTGCCATCAGAACTCTTGGCCCTCTTATTTGTATGCTTAGGTTTGGAATTCTTGTCAGTTGCAGCCTTCTTGGATTTCTCCTTGGCCGAAGGAGGGCTGTGTGCAGCAGGATCCCTGTCCTTTTTATTTGTGGATTTGGGTTTCAACCCATTTTCATCCCTGGCGCCTGGATCCTGTTGGCTGTTTCCCTCTTTGAGCGGATGCTGCTTCTTGGTGTAAGTCTGAGATGAAGGGAGGGGCGCGTTCGAGCTGCTTGCCTTCTGCTTCAGTAGCTAAAAGGGCCAAAAAAAAAAAGGGAAACAGAAGAGAGATTATCTCCTTGATCACCTCCCTTCAATTCTCCCCCGCCATCAGTGCTGCGAGGACTGAAGCAGAGCAGGGCTCTGGCTGGCTGCAAAGCCCCATCCCCGTGGGTCATTATTAGGCACAAAGAATCTTTTTAAACGATGACACCCAGCGTGGAGCTGCGTTAATGAAGAACACGGCAGCCGGCCCGGCTCGCCCTCACCTCCTGCAGCGCCTTCCAGTTGGAGGAGAACTCCTGCGGGCTGCGGGGCAGCGCCGCCACCGCCGCCTTCTTCGGGCCTTTCTGCGCGGCCGTCCCCTCGTGCTGCCCGCCGCCTCGCCGGGCTCTCCTCCTCCGGCCTTTCCCGCGGGCAGCCGCCTCGGGGTCCGCCTTCGCCATGCGGGACCGCGGCGAGGGGGCGGTAATGCGAGGGGAGCGGTGCAGCGCCCGGTGGGGAACGGCGCCCCGCTCTTTGCGTTCCGCTGCTGGGCCGGGTCTGCGCGGGCGCCCCCTGGTGGCCAACCGCGGGGCGAACCCTGAGGCGGGAGGGGCGGGCGCCCGCAGCTTTCACGTGCGGGTCTGTGCGGGCCGGAGCTCCGCTGCGGGGTGCGCGGCCTGCGGGACGTCGCACTGAGTCACAGCTCGCCCGAGGGGCTCCGGCTGGGCTGAGGTTTGGCGAGCAGGAGCGCACGGTTCGACAAGTCAGAGCCCTTTCCCCGCGCAAATCGCTGGTTGTTTATTTGGCTGCTGTAGCTGGCGCGAAGCTGCTCTCGTTGCTGCGCTCTTTGGCTGTAATGAAGTTGCAAATGTTGTGCAAAAGCTCTCCCCCTCCAGCTGTTCCTGTAAATCCTCCCGCAGCAGTTCAATTCCCCCTCGACTGTCCCCCTCTGCAGTCGATCATCTCTCCTGTTTATTTAAACTCGGCATTCTTTGCTTCCGTTCCACGTGATGCCTCAGACCGAACATTTTAATCACCCTTGGGCCAGAGATTGCTCTGCGGTGCTGCTTGCAATCCCTCCAGCATGATCATCAGTCTGACCATCCGAGCGCTCATAATGCTCCCTCTGGGGCTTTGCTGGCCCTCCATCCTCCGAGAGGTAAGCCTGACCTCCAAAAAGCTCTGTTTCCAGGAAGCCTTTTTTTATTTCTAGGAAAAAGAAGAGAAAACACGACGTGTTCTAAGCCAAGATGTATCAGACCTCACTAATCAAGAAGATAAAGCTATTTCCTCTGGGTGGCCGTAGTGCAGCATACGCTTAGTGCAAAATAAAACCA